GGACTCAGGGTGAGAGCCCAAACACTTGCTTCTCGCCCCTGGGAAGGGGGGGCCTCCCGCTCCTCCCCCTCCTCCCCCGCCTTCCGAGGGCAGACGCGAGCTGCGACCAGCTCGCCTGGCTTTGTGCGTAGAGCAAGGCTAGAAAATGCCTCGGTTGGCCGCCTGAGGGGATGATTGCGGTGGGGGGTAGGGTCTGTTTTCTCTCTAGTTCTCGCTCCCCAACCCCTTCCCTGCCTGCTGAAGGGTAACCAAAAGTGGCAAAGTTTGCAAATAAGGGAAGCTGTCCTAACGCAGTGATCACACCCACACGTCCGTACCTTGAGGGCTCGGCCGCGGTCCTCCGGACGTTTCCGAAAGCTCTGCTTCCCAACACACCTCTCCCAGCTGAGCCCTGTTGGTGGAACCCAGGGTTCAGGCGGACTACACGGAGAAGAGGGGGGACTAGGAAACACCAAGGAGTCTTCCCTGGAAATCCAAGTTGTCAGTCCCTTTGGACCTTTCCACGAGCTGATCCTCTGAAAACACGGCAACAAACAAACACCGTCCGCAGACAGATCCCCGCAGCCTCGGGGAGAGCTGGGGCAGGGGTAGGGAGTGGAGGGCAAGCAGGGGGCAGAGAAGGCGAGGGACAAGTGCTAGGCAAGCGGATTATGCTGCATTTCCTCCTATTATCAGACTTCCAGAAGGAGAGACCAGGATTTGTGCATAAAATGTATACCCCGAAGTGGATAAGACTCTGAAGGCAGCATTTGAGGAGGTTAACCTTGACTGGTTGGAGTTAAGGGGGGTGGGGGTGAGGCAAATATTTCTGTTTGTGCCCTCCGGCTCTTCCCAGCACCGGCTGTCAATCCCGACGCTTGTTATCCTCACAAGGCTTCAGTTTGTTTGCCTGATCTCAGCAAGGTTTTCTTCCACAAGTAGAACTATAATTGCTATAATTCTACTGTATCATTTGGATCATTGCAGTATTGTTGTTTTCTCTCCCTCTTTCTCTCCTCCTAACACTGCAATAACGCGCTCCAGTGTTAAATTAGCAGGTTGCGGAAGACCATAAATGAATGAAAGTTTGTTAAAAAAAAAAAAAAGAAAATAAATAAATAAAACAGCAAAATGACTTGGCAAAGGGGATATCACATCACAGAGAATCCTTGAGTGTAATCAGGACTTATTGTCTTCCCTTCCAATGGCTTCCAATTTGGTCGCCAGACTCCAGTGAAGTTTATTTCTATTGTTTAAATATATGTTTTGAAGAGGTTGAGCATAATTTAAGGGGACCTGAGTGTCCGGTGAGGCTGAAAGCCCATCACTGCTTTATTTATCTGTGTGTATATTGCACAGTAAATTAAAACATCTCAAATGAAAATTTGCAAGGTTAACTCTCCTCCAAACATTTTCCCCCCTGGATAATGACATTTACTGCCACCCCCTTATCCTGCATTTCTTGCAAATATAATTTTGAAACTGCAATGTAGAATTAGTTCTCACCACGGAAAAGAAAGGAGTTTCTTCCATCCGCCTCTTCTAGGTAATTATTATTTCTAGTCCTGGGGACAAGCCTCATCTTTCACCATAAACAACAGTTTTAAACACTTCTGACCCTCAGTTCTGGCCATAAATGTCATTTTTATTTCAGTGGTTGATTGTAAAGGCAGATGGACTGCAAACTACTGTTTTCTGGGCAGCCCAGGGAAAATAAAAAAACAACATTTACAGACCCCAAAAGACTAGAGGAGCCAGGAGTTGTGCATAACAAAGTACAAACGTGAATAATATTACCACTAAAATCAAATTACTTTGATCCGTGGGAAAAAGAAAGTGAGATGAAAAGAAAGTGAAGTGTCATTTTGCTGACAGTAAATATGAAATTGGCTAACCGAAAGTTTTTGTACATATCCTGTAGCCCAATTCTTACAAGTCTACCTACTCAACAAATCACTTAAATTCTTCCTAGACATTAGAAGTATCATTTTTGTTTTCTAAAATAACAAATAGGAAGGGCGCCTGGCTGGCTGAGTCCATAGAGCATGCGACTCGTGATCTCCGGGTGGTGAGTTCGAGCCCCATGTTGGGTGTAGAGCTTACCTTAAAAAAATAAAATTAACAAATAGGATAGCACATACATCCTAAACCCATATTCTGGTTAGACACTACAGGGACACCAGAAGTTTCTGTCCCCCAGTGGGTATGCTGGAAAAGTTTTCTGTTGTTTTTTAATTTAATCTTTCGGGAATAGCAAGAGTCAATTGTAGATTTTGAAGTTGGTATTGAATTGTGACAAAGATCATCTCAGGGTTGCTGGGTGTGAAATGAACTGGGTCGGGCCCTATCTCCCCAAAGTGAATGGACGTGCCTTCCCAATAGCGTCCTCACTGGGGAAGACGGATTAGAAATATCAAATATAAACAAAATAAAATAACAAAGCTAGTGTTTTCAAACAGGTTTCCCAAAGAAATACATTATATTCCATTAATAGAATTAGATTTAATTCCAGGGGTCATTAAGTCAGAATCAGAAATTCTATGTTAACCTCCTCTTTTACAGTGGATGATTAAAATTAGAATACACCCCAGCAGAAAGTCCGACTTCTTTTTTAAAAAAGGAGAACAGCTGCAGAAGGGGGAGGAGGGAGACGGAAGCAAAGAAATCTTCCACCGAGAGAGCTGAAACCCTGTTAGACTCTCAGAATGATTTGTGCGTTTGTGTCTCCTTTTGTTTAACACGATCTTTTTTGGACCTATTTTTAAGCCCACTCCCTGCGTGTGCGGAGCCGACTCTGAAGTCATGGAGCCACCCAGCAGCCGGGTCTTGTGGATTTCCGACGCAGGGCCCGGCGGGGAGGGAAAAGTGCCTCCGTTTCTCCCAGCGACCAGCCGCAGGGACACCCGCGAGCGTCCGCGGCTGGAGGCTTGGAGGAGACCGACGCGTCTTGACAGCTGCGTGGAGACCCGCTTGCCGGGACTGGGCTCTCGGGGCTGGGGAGGGAATCAGTGCGCAGAATGTTAGGGGAAAGCTGAATGGGACGGTATAAAAACTGGAACTGTTGGTGAGGATGGAAAAAGGAAGACTGCAGGAAAGGCAGGAGAAGATCCCAGGTGCCTTGCATCAGCAGGCAGGGCTTAAAATCAAATGTCAGAGATAGCTCAGGGACTCCTCCGTCTCCCAGCCCCATCATCCAAGTGTAGGAAAAACTGGTGGGAATCAAACTAAAAAACAGAAAGACAAAGAGAGGGACACAGAGAGACATCTTTTCCCTCTTGCCTCTAATAGTAGTAGTAATATCAGCGTTCGTATTCACATTATTAATGTACCTGTTCCCAACCCTTCATCCCCCTCAAGTTGTGCCATGAATACTCCTGCCAAGCGAGCCCGATCTTTTGGCCACCCACCCACCAGCATCCAAGAGTTATGCAGGTGTTTATGGCTGGAAAAAAAAAAATCCCGGTTATGCATCCTTGTATTTTTAAATACTGACTGTAAGTGATTCAAGTATAATCCTTTGTAAAACGCTTTTCTCTTTGACACATTGAAGGGGTTGAGACAGGAAAACCCGGCGTGGATTCCCCCTCCTCAACCCCTCTCCCACCTACCACCTTCGCCCCCACCCTGCCGTGGTCGGGGGCCCCTGGCCGGCCCTTGAGCTCTGCACCCAAGCAAGGAGGGCGTCCGTGCTAGCCCCTCGCCCAGGCTTGGCCCAACTTCAGTCCCAGTTGGTCTCGATTCTCAGCGCTGGACGCGCAGGAAGTTGTTTGGTAAGAAACGCGTTCAACCACAGTCTCTCATTCTCTTACCTTTGCTAATGGGAGCCAGGCCCTAAGAATTTTAGGCGTTTACGCTTGGTAGAAGCCGAACCTTGGTAGAAGTCCTTCCCACCCGCGAGCACTCAGGGCCCCCACAGGTCTGCTCCCCGCACGAGATTTGAGAGTGTCCAGACTCGGGGTGACAGCCTAACTAATGGAGGCGAACTTGCGGGAAGAAGAGAGAAGCAAGTCTGGGGAGGAGGGGGAGACTCCCAGACTCCGCAGTTGACCCTCGCCTGTCCCGTTCTGCCCTGTAGGTGCTCTAGTGAAGGCCGCCCGCCTTTGGCAGAGCTTTGTCTCTAAGGGGACTTTTTCCAGAGTTCAAGAAGGAGATGAGAGAGGTTGGGGGCCGCTACCAACCCGAGAGCAACCTCCCAGCTCAGGGTGAAGACAAACAGCTCAAGGCGTCGGGCCACAAGAGAAAAGTGAACGCCCAAACAGAAATTGTTTGCTTGCGGCCATCACCCTGACACCTCGGGGGCCCGTCCGGCCTAAAGAGCACCGCGACTGGGCGCCACTGAGATCAAGGCGCTGTCCTGGGAGCGCAGCACTGGCTTTGCAAAGTACCAAGGCCGTCTGAACGCGAGCCGCAAGGCCTCGCCTCCAGGAAGCGAGGTCCTCTGGTTGGTGGAAGGGGCGCACGTCGCCCAAGTGGCACCCACAGGCCTCACATCAGAGTGAGCTAGGGCTTCGGGCCAGCCCGAAGGGCTAAAGGGGAATCTACAGGAAGAAGATGGAGAACTTAGGAACTTGCTAGTTAAAAACAAAAAAAGAAAAAAAAAATGGTTCGGGTGAGTGCCCGCTATCCCCTTATCCTCCGCTGCCCACCCCACCCCCGCCGGCCTTTCCGGACTCCAGTCCAGGCTTTGCTCTGAGCCCGCAGCACGGCGCAGCCCGGCCTCTAGCGAGAGCCAATCAGAGGGCGCCTCTCAGCACGTGGAGGAGAGAGACTCCAGAGCTCCGCGCCCGCAGCTCACTACACTTGTTACTGCTTGTCCTGAGCGCTGAGAGGGCGAGCTCGGGCCGCGGGCAGGGCGGGAGCCAGCAGCCGGCAAGCAAGGGAGGCAGAGAGGCAGAGATCGCAGTAATATCCATTATAACCAGCCATCTAACCCCACTCCCCAACACACACCCATCCATCCCACCCTCCAGGAGAGGCAGCCAGCGGCCCGGCTCTCTGCGGCCAGGGAAAAAGCCCCAGCCATGAGCAATCAGTACCAGGAGGAGGGCTGCTCCGAGAGGCCCGAGTGCAAAAGTAAATCTCCAACTTTGCTCTCCTCCTATTGCATCGACAGCATCCTGGGCCGGAGGAGCCCATGCAAAATGCGGCTGCTGGGAGCCGCGCAGAGCTTGCCCGCCCCACTGGCCAGCCGCGCCGACCAGGAAAAGGCCGTGCAAGGTAAGGCTGCGCCCGCCAGGCACCTGCAAAGAGCGCTGGGCACTGGTTTGGACGCTTGATGTTCGGGAGCCAGGGGCCTGGGGTTATCAAGCTGGAGACGGAGGACAGAGAGAGAACAACTCTGAGGCCTGGTGCCTCAAAGAGCGGCAAACATCTCCCCAGGGGCTGTCTCTCCCTTCCTCTCACCTTCCTGAAGCACAGGCCAAGCTTCGCTTTGGGGAAGGGGGGAGCTTAGATTCTCGGAATTGGTCTTTAGATCGTTTAAATGCTCCCTTTGGTGGCCTGGGGGGTGCTCTGAAGAGGGGCGACAGGTCAGAAACAGCAGGTGCCGGGTGGACCCTTGTAACAACAACTTGAAGACAAGAACCCCTAAAGGTGTGAATAGGGGTCTCCAGGTAGAGTGAGCCTTGGTCTTTCCTCTTTGGAAGATTTCTTTATATGCGGTGTTCTCCCCACCCACCCCCCTCCGCCTTTTCTTTCTTTTTTTAATTGTACATTACTCGTGACCTTTTAAACCCAAGCTTTGCAGAAAACATCTCCCTGGGATTACCCAAACGCTCCTTATTGTATTTGAAATGTATGAAATGTGTGGCTTCTGGGTGCTATTTTTTTCTCTGCTGTGTTATTTTTAAAAATAGAGTTGAAATACTTAAAAAGGTTTTGTTTTTTTTTTTCTAAAATTAAAAATTCCAAAACAACCGTCGTTTTGCCCCGAACCTGTTACGCTCAAGTTTCGCCTTGAGCTGCCCGCAGAAGTATCACAGGGAAAGAATTGCTGATTTCTTTTTAAAATCCTAAAACCAGCGGTCCAGCCGCAGCGCCACTTGGAAGACAGGACAGATGGCGGAGAAGGGGCCGTTTAAAATAAAACTGACTTTTTCCTTTTCTTTTTTTAGCCTGCAGTGGCACCTGTGCCAGGCGCTTCCTCGAGGGGAAAGAGCGGCCTGTGCCTGTTGTACCCCCTTCTGCCCCCTCCCAGGCCTTTCCGAGCCCATTTTCTCCAGGACGATTTTTCTTTGCCTTTCCGTGCAGGGAGCCCCCGCCCCCTCCCGCTGCGGGCTGTTGGGGCACGGCCCCGCGCGCTCCGGGCCACCGGGCCGCTTCCTCGGCCCCCGCAGGGGTCGCCCACGGGCAGCGCCCCTCTCGCCGGCCTGGGCCTGCGGGGCAGAGCAGCGGGCAGAGGTCGTGCGCAAAGTTTTCAGGGTGGTGGTCATTTTTTTTTTTTAAGTCGTTGAATGTTTTCAGATTCTCCCCTGCCCTAAAATGGGGTGGGAAAAAAAAGGGAGACAGAGAGAGAGCACGCGAAGGGAAAGAAAAAGACAGGAAGAAAGGAGGAGGAGAGTAAACGGGGAAAGCGCACAAAAAGAGAAAGGAAGGAAGGAAGGGGAGAGGAGAAAGATGAGAAAAGAAAGGGAGACGGGTAGAGAAGGAAAGAGAAAAAGAGAAGGAAGATAAAAATGAAAGGAAGAGAAGGAAAGAAAGAGGTAAAGGAAGGAAGAAAGGAAATGAGGGGAAGAGTGGGAGAGGGAAAGAAGAGAGGAGAAGGACGGAGGAGGACAGAGGGAAAAAAAAAAAGAGAGAAGGAAAGAGAAAGGGAAAGACATAAAGAAAAAGAAACAGCCAGAAAAGTGGGGAAGGAGGAGAAGGGGGTCCAAGTCCCGTAGCGCGCAGGCGGGGGTTGGGGGTGGGGGAGCCGGGGCCTAGGGGCCGAGAGAGCAGTGGCGGTCGGCTTCGGGCGGCGGCTCTGGCGGGGACGCCTGGCTGGCTAGCGCGTTGACCGCTCTCCCTTGCCCGCAGGCTCCCCCAAGGGCAGCAGCGCCCCGTTCGAGGCTGAGCTGCACCTGCCGCCCAAGCTGCGGCGCCTGTACGGCCCGGGCGGGGGCCGCCTTCT